TAACTGTACAAGCTGTTGGCAGCATGAGTAACATAAGCTGCTGTGTTCCCAGGACTCCACATGGTCTTCTAGGAGCCAGGGACCTTGGCCTCCCGGAAGTGAGGTGGGTTCACAGTTCCCTTGGAAACTCCATCACCGAGCGTTTCCATCTTGACAGAAAGATTTGACTCTTGTGCAGCAACTCTCTGATCGTGGTTTATCTTACTGTTGGGCTGAACGTCTCACCTACTGATGGAGCTTTTCTGTAGACTTCTCAGGCTATGTCTTGTGCCCTTGATTTGATAGACTGGTTATGGTGTTGGTCTATTGCCTTTGGAAATGCTACCAAAATGATGGAATTCCTTAGCCAATACGTTTGGTTTTGTTCATACAAGTCAGTTGATTTAAAATTGAAAAATCACCCTTCCTTTTAGTTTATTTTGTCCTGTTGTTTGGCAGTTTCCAGTAGAAGTAGTTTTTGAGGAAGAACTTATATGAAGGAGAGAGCAGTCACTTAATTCAGTGTTTTTCCCAGAGGGTTGATTTTGGCTAGAGGAATGGAAGAAGGCATTTCCTGGAGGGGAATTTGGTCAGACAAATAGATGTCAACAGGCAGAAGGTGGGAAAGGATTGTAAAATGAAGGAGATGATGTGGCGATGCATAAGCGACAGGGGTGGCTGCTACCTGGGCAGCATAAGGTAAGATGGAAAACAGTTGGCCTGGATGCCAAGTTGGTCTTACTGCTTCACTAAACACAGTTAAGGTAACCATGCATTGGTTTGCACAAGCGGATGGAGTACTTCTTTCATGATTAATCTCTTGCTAGAGCAGAGTGAAGTGAGTGAGTTATGGGTCTGGTTTGGAGGACGTGCACTGGCCTTGTGTTAAGGACCTATATTTGAAGAGTTGATTTCCCCCTGCCTCAGTACCCTGCAGCAGGGAAGGCCAGGAGCACCTCCTGAGCCTCAGGCATCTCTGCTGTGATGGAGATGGAGCTCTTGGAGCCCTGAGCTCTGCTGAACCCAGTGCCAGATACAGAGAGGAGGGTGGTCGGGTCGAAGGCGATGCCAGGGTCATTGGGTCTTAGTGCCACCTGCGTATTAGGTAGGACAAGGACGCTTGATTGTCATCTTTTCCCAGTAAAAGATAACTTCCTCTCTGAGAAACCAAAGCAAAATGTAGATACACTGCAAATGCATTTGTTGGGCTGTTTATCAATACTAAATATGTAAAACAGAAAGGTCAGTTGTGTTTAATGTCATGTGGCAGCTTTGTGATTATAATTACAGTAAAAACACCAGTGAGATATGAATTCAGTGCTCTACAGAGCTTGTTCCTCCCTGACAGTTTGTTTTGTTGGCTTACCTGTGCTCTGGGAAAGTTTGGCAGCCCTTACCCTGGCCTGAGGGATTTTATTTAAATAAAGAAAATGGGATAAGCTGATAACTTATTTACAGTGTCTCACTCACTGAGGGAATTCAATGTAGCTTAGTGTTTCAGGAACACCTTGTCACAAGGTTGGGTAGCAAGAATTGCAGTAAGAGATGCAAAGAGGTTGTTGCGTCTGACCTTAAGTTAGTGTGACTGACAATTGCTGCTCTGTGTGTTTCTTATTATTTTGTATGCAGTTTCAGATATCTGGGGAAAAGAGGGACAGACTTGAGTTTCTCTTCTTTCAGCTTCATGTTTTTAAAAATTGTGATGGGGCCTGCTTGCTGTTCTTGTTGTTGTTTCCTTGGCTCCTGTATATTAAGCTTCTAAAGCTCTTTCTTGATCTCTTCCTGAGCTGTTCCCAAACGCATTCATCAGGATTCTCATTCTTTATATAATGTTCTTTAAGTTTTTTAGGGACTGTTACCAGTTTGGATGTTTTCTCTTTAAAGAACTAACTACTGGGGTTTTTTTGTTTTTTTTTTTTTTTTTGGGGGGGGGGGCCAACTCATTTAACAAAAGTTAGTTTGTGCTGAGCTACCTTTCAGTTGTGGCTGAGGTTTTGAAGCGGGGCAGGCTGGAGGCAGTGCCGGTACTTGGGCTTTTGCCAGTGTGCTTGGGCTTTTGGTTTCCTCTCTGAACGTGCCTGTACCCGCATGGTGGCGGTTTCAGCTGTGTGGGTGGAGGCAAGGTCTGGCTTGCCCTGTCCGGCTGACAGCGGGGACGTGAGCCGCTCGGGTCTGCGGTCAGCAGCAGTGTCCTTACGTTACTGCATGGCGCGGGCTGTGACTGACTGCCAAGGGCAGCAGAGCAATGTTTCAGTGAAGGCACCGATTCCCTGCTGTTGTAAATACAAAGTGTTACAAGTAAACCCAAAAGGTTCCTCAAGTGTTGTGATGCTTTGTGGCCATGGTGTTTGTCTGTGTGCTCATCCAAAAGCTGGTGATGCCCTGCAAGGATGGGGCTTTGAGTTCAGTGTGGCGATACTGTCTAGGTTCCCATCTTAGTTTAAGAGGTCCAGTTACATTTGATTCTGTGGCTGTGCAAAAGCTTTTTTCTGAATGCAGTATCAGTAGAGGTTCCTGTATCTCTCTCCCTTTTTTTTTTCTTTTTTTTTAAATCTACTGCACTGGCAGCACTGTCCTTATTTAACTCCAGATAAATCTTAGTAACATGTGCAACCCCAAGACAAGGGGAGAAAATTAATCTCTCGATCGGGAACTACAGAAAGTGAAGTGAATTATGAACAGAAGAGGGAGGGTTTTTCCTGTGTCCATTGCCCGAGCGAAGGGAAGCTGGCATAGAGAATGCCAGTCAGAGAACTGGGGGGGAGGGGGACTTTTTTTTTTCTCTACATTTAAATGAAAGGAAAATTTAAGACTTTTCCAAATGTCCTCAGTAAGACGAAGCAAAGCAGAGACGACAGAGGTCGCATTCCCATAGGAATCATTTTACATTGCAGAGATTCTTTTGTTTGCATTCAGCACAGTCAGAAAGTGTTTGGGGGTTTTGGTTTTTGTTTTTAATTTGCCACTGATATGGTTAAAAGTCACAGCATAAGTTTCCTGACTTGGTGAAAAGCAAGCCTGTGACCCCTCTCAATTGTGTTGCTCATCAGAAAGAAGATAGGTAATAAAGAGTCTCCTGTGTGAGAGGAGTAGGGAGAACCTGCTGTTTTAATTTTGTTCACAGCAGTGGGCCAAACTTTGTTCTTTCAGTGCTGGCCTTGATAATTGGCTTGATATAATATAGGAATTCAAGCCATTGCGTATCTCTGGCTTTATAGCTGCTAATGGAACAGGCAAGAAGAGTGCAAAGTCTCCTGCAGGAACATACGGTAAATAAGATCAACAAGCATGTTCCGAAGAATACGTGGGCAGTGGTTCTAAAGGGGCCTCGGCTCAGCCTCCGGAGGGTTAATTTATACCCAGTTGCATTCCAGTTGCCCAGCCAATGGATTTTGCTGGTTTAGACTCCATGGGGATGTGGTTTTGGTTTTTGGGAGACTCTTCTGGACTAAATGTGGATTATGTTTGTGTCTGATTCCTGAGAACTAGACTCAAGGGGTTCAGTGTTCCTGGGGAGGAGGAATTTAAGGTTTTGCTTTGGGAGTTTCCTCTGCTTTAGAAGTTTGGCTGTAGTGTACTTTGCCCTCAGGGGACCCCGCATCCCACTGCACGGTGGACATTGCACAGGCGTACAGTAAAGTTTTTAGTTTGTTGTCCCGCTGGTCGCCCGCAGCTCTCGGCCATGGCAAGCTGAGACTCATTTGCATTGTTTTTTGCAGACATCCGCAGTTTATTCGTCATCTTCACTGAGGTTCTAGCACCTGTTAAGTGCTCCTCCTCCCTTTTTTTCTGAGAAGCATTTAATTATTGCAGGGTTTCCCTTGGAGCACATCCTTCATTCAGTTCCCTAATTGTAGAATTCTCTGCGGGATTCTCCAGATGGGGGATAGAGGATAATCTTCTCAGAGCTCCGGAAGAAATGTGATGCCAAATTACAGAAAATAGATCCTTTTTATTAAGCTCTTGGGCTCCTTTTACTCTTATTTTAAGGTGACCTTCTGTTAAAGACGCATGTTGGATAAATGGCTATCCTTTTTAAGTAATCCTTGACAACTCTACCTGGGTTACTAAAAACATTGTTAGATTAGAAATCCTGAAAGGATTACAATTTTTCTTTTTTTTCTTTGCCATTCAAGCTGTCATCACAGCGACTGGGAAAACAGACTTGTTTTTCCCCTTTGTTTCTAGTTGGTCTCATTTTCATGCTCTGAGCTCTGACTTATGGAGTGCTGGCAGTGTATGTGACATGGCGGGCAGGTAAAAAGACAAATCCCCCTCCATTGTCAAGTGGTCACAGTGCCACTATATGGGTCACTCGCTCTGCGGCAAGCTCACGTTGTGGCAGTGCCATTTCAGTCCCTGAGGGGTTTCTGGGCATCCTAAAAATGCTACTCTGCTCTGCTGATGTTTGCAGACGTGGCACTTTGTGGACATCCCATTTCATGCCTAAGTGCTGGGCATGTTTGAAGTTGTACTAAGCTTGATAAATCTAGTATGTGACCACCAAATGATTCCAGGGCTTGTCCTTGCAGAGCCGTTTCAGTTGGGAGATGTGCAAGTATTATGTGTATGTTAATTAAGGCTCCACAAATTCCTGTGTTGGGAGATGATATCAATATTTTTACAGGGTAGATGGAAAAACTGAAGCACAAAGAAATGTAACTGTAGTCCTGTACTGAACTGATGGTAGAGCCAAAGATACAGTCTGGAAATGCTTGACTCTGGTCCCCTGTTTTAATCATTGCTTCTCCTTGGGATTTCATGTGCTTTTAATTCTCTAGGAAACGTTTCCTCTGACACCAGGAAGAGTACTAGCTTTGCGCATAGCTAGTCAATACAAGCTTAGGACGGGGAATCTCATCTCGCCAGGGAGAGAGGGAGGTTATAGCTATGTTTTAATACATGTAGTTGGTTGGCTTCATGCTGAAATATGCCATTGGGGGTGTTTACAGCTTGCAGTGATTGGAGTTCTGTGCTGGGAGATCAAAGGTGGCTAATCCAAATTTTTGTTTATCTTCCAGGTCTACGCACAACGAACTAGAAAAGAACCGGTAAGTAGCTAATGAGCTGAATTTGAATTCTAAGAAAGGCAAGCCTGGTGAGTGTAATGTGCTTTAACGTTACCCATGCAGGTGTCGTTTGATCAGCTTAGGCAGCCATGACTGACCACACTGCATCAGGTAGTTTTAAAAATTCAGAGGAAGACAGAAAAAGATCTGAAAAAGAAGCCTTATTTTTTTTTCTTCTCTCCCTCTGTCTCTGAGAAGGCAAGAAGTGACCCAGTTTTGTGACTAATCTGTATGCAGAGTAAATACTGTTCTTCTCCTGACATAGTGAAATCTGATTGGGGCACTTTCCATACATGAGGTTGCTACGGGATCAGGTTTCTTGGGCCCTGGGTAGTACGTGTTACCATGAACCAAAGGGCAGAGCCCTGTGCTCTCTACCCTCTCCCTCCCACCGCTCTGCAGGGCTGTAATAATCTCTGCGGTGCAGAAGAAAATACCATTGTCTGAAGGCCCTGAGGTCTGGCTAACTGCACTCCCGTGAAGAATTTCTCTTCTAACCTGGGTTAGGCTTGAGCCTGTTTATCCTTGAATCTGGATGGAGTTTTAGCAAGCCTTGCAGTTTTGTTACTTGGCTAGCTCTGCTATATGACTCAACCCTTTTGTAACAGGAGTTAAAGTAAGATAAATACTATTGAGACAAGGGGAGCTAGTTCACACACAGATCAGATTATAGCCTTCTATTCAGGAGGCTATAGTTAAGGTTGTGTCAGGGTTTCCATTATAAACTTATCTTGGTTTTTCTGTGGGATTTTTTTGTGTGTGTGGCTGCTGGAACAAAAGCAATGCTCTGGCCAGCTGCTCCTATGAGGAAACCGCCAGGGTGGGCAAACTGAGTCTGAATAGATTGATTGCCCCCTCTTCCCTCTTAGCAGCCATCATTTAACAGGGGACGCTAATGTAGCGGTGGTCAAGGATTCACAGAGGCTTCAGACAAGTGTGGATCTCATTTCAGCTAAGGTCTTTCCATATAGCTTCAAGGGATCAGAGCTGGGTACCTCATGGGGCATATTGCCCTCTGTTTCCCCCCACGCCTGCCCCCTTTATGTTGGGAAACAGCTTTGCCTTCGCCTTGTTTCTTCATGACTGTGCCTGTATCTCATGGTAGCTGTAAGGGCCTGCAGAGCTGTCATGGTCCTATCTTTCTGGAGTGATGCAGGGAGGCTTTTCGTTTCGGTCATGTTTCTCCCCTGTCCCACTGAGCCTTAACCTTTCCCGGTCCCAGGTTGAGCTGTATTGAGAAGTGCTGGCCCCTTGGTTTTCCAGTGCTCTCTGCAGCTTTATTTACCAATGACAGAAAGAAAATGCGATGCTTGGGTCTGACCCAGAACTGAGGGTGCTTTTTTTCGCCATGACAACAGTAAACAGTCACTAATTTTCAGTGTGCTTATTTGCATATCTAATTGTTACTACAAACGCTGCTTGCCCTCAGTACAGCTTTAGAGCAGAACCATCCCTGTCTTTCCCTGTTCCGCCATGGTCCTTTCACAGTGTCCAAGTTTATATGTGCCCCGACCACCTTTTTCCACCCTCAGGCTTGTGGGCAGGCGATGAAGCTTTAAACTGCCTGTGGCTGAGATCCAAGCAGCTAGTGTTACGCGGGTATTGTGCTGCTAAGGACAATAGGACTGGCGAGTAATGATGGGTTTAGGATCCACCCGATACCTGCTGTGTGTGTGAGCTGAGGTAGTTTTTGCCTTGGTTCCCTATCTTTACGTGGGCACAGTAATACCACTTGGGTTGGGAGTTTGAGAATTAACAACTGTTACATATTTTGCACTTTGTTATATGTTACTAGTGAGAGGAGTATTGTTGCCTTCAGCTCCTGTCACCTTTTTCTGAATGTTAAGCTGTGTAGCTCTGTTGCTCAGCTACAGAATTTGTCTTCTCGTTCCCCACTAGTGCAGTACCATCTCTCTTTTCCTCTTCTTCCACCTCAGTTACGCTCCCCAGTCCCTCTCTGCTCCTGACTGAAGAGGCCTAACCATCAGCCTTCTCAACGAGGGCTTTCCTAGAAGGCTTCCCATTCCCAAGTCACTGTATTCCAGGTCTTGTGCCTCAGACATGGTTTTACAAGCCCTTGGTTTTCATCTTTCTGGGGAAGGGTCACATTTGATCACACTGGGTAGTCTGCACAGGCAAATTCCTGTGTCTGGGATCTTTGATCAGGAGCCTTCTGCTTCTTGTTTGGGCATTGCCTGTCCCTTAGCGGTGATGTGCGTGGCTGATTAAGCCGTAGCATCTGCAAACCTAGTTAGACCCAGCAGTGGCTCTGCTGGATTTGCAGTGTTTATTACCAACAATTGGACAATGAGTTTCATACTGGAAGCGTTTATTTTCAAACTCCACAGTAGTGTTTTCTGAGTGAATGGAATTGCTTCCCAGTTAGATTTTTACTGTGTTTCATTTGCTGTGTCTGGAGATGCTGACAAACTTAACAGTGGCAAAGATAAAAGCCCTGATACTAATGGCTTTGTTGCTGGCAGGTGCTCATTTTCCCTATTATTTGAGATTATTCCTTTTGAATCTCACTGTTATCTCCATTATTGACACACACTATAATTTTCAAAATTGTCCACTATTAGGTCTCTGACTCTGATTTTTTTCATCCCCCTTCTGTCTGCTAGTAGCAGCCTCCTTATGTTCAGTTAAATTTTAACCCATTCAATAATTACACAAAGCTGCTTCAAGCAATAGCAAGAGAGCAGTAGAAAAAGAAAATGTTCTTCATTTTGAATATGCAATTTAACTTGGACTCGATTATTGCAGAGATAATGATGTTTGTATGCATCAGAATTAGGGATCTTGTAGTCCTTTGATGTCCAAAAGCAGTTACAAAATACATAAGAATAAATTAAAGCAATGTTTTAAGCTCCAGTCCTTTTTTTAGTCTTGAAATATTTCATAAACACTACAGTGATTCTGGTAAAGAAATACTTGATTTGGTACCCAGTAATAACTATAATATTTAAGTGACTTCTTTCTGCTTTGATTTGGCTTCTTACCTGAAGAGATTGCTTTGACATTTATAGAAGGGGCTTTGTTTGATTTATAAAAGATGAAAATTAATTTATAGTTATCATCGGTCATTAATCCTCATGTTGGAAAATTGTTTGTGTTTGCTATTTAATGGGTATGTGTTTCAGTTTATCTCTGCCCAGGATGAGTCATAGCTTGCATCTAAACATGAAACCGGTTTTCTGCTTCTCATAAGCTGTAAGACGTAACTAATGCAATACTTTTTAGTCCTTTAATATGCCCGCTAGAAAACTGTACTTTCTATGCAAGAACCCATCTTTTGTCTAAAAGAAAACACTGTAGAGCAAGTGACTAAAATATGAACTTTCGTAGAAAAACATTTTCTCAAAAATACTAAAAAATTCAGGTTTAGTGGAAATTACGCACGTATGTGTTTATGGACAGGTAGTCTTATACAGTGGAACATTTAAAAGCAGAATTAGCTGTCGTTTGTGAACGTTTTAGATGCTAGCTGGTTTTGGAAGGATGTGGTCAGTGCGGTAGTGAAAGAACATATACAGCTTTTCGATGACTTTCCTGCTCGTTTGAAGTGGCAATTTTGGTAGACCAACGTGATGTTATTGTCTGTCAGAAAGGTTATATTCCCCTGACAGAGCAAGAAAGATATTTATAAAGCTATTGATCAGGTTTTCGTAAAACTTCTGTTCCTTTATATCCTAGACTGATCTATTTGGGTTTGATTTGGTGATGACTGTTAGATTGTAGGGCTACAGGGGGTGCAACTGAGGCACGCGTACGCTAGAAAGCCCTTAGATGAGAAATGTTGTTTAAGTACTAAAGCAGTATTAAAAATAGTAGCGGTCAGAGATAACCAGGTAGGAAAACCACTTATTGCTTGGGAAGGTTTTTTTGTTTGTTTGTTTGATGTATAAAGAAGTCTCCCCAGCAGTGTGTGTAGGGGGCAGGGGGTAAGTTTTGCTAATTTTTTTTTTTTAATTTCATTTTGGCTTATCTTACAAGACTGGATGAGTGGATTGCTCTTGGGATTGTAGTGCAGCAAAGAGAAGGAAAACGAAGCTGAGTAACTGGGTAACGAATGAGTTATTAGGGCAGGCTTTCCTTCTGATAACAATAATGTAGTTCAAACAGCAGGCAGATTTGAGGAGGGGGGGGAGAAGCCTTGGGAGAAATTTTGAAATCCAAATTTTCTGAAGATCCTAGTAGTTTTGTAGCTCTCCAAAAGATCCCTCCCTCCCTCCTTTTCTTTTTAAGCAAGGTGAGTGCGCAAAGCAAATTCCAGGAAGGACAAAACCAATTCTAAGCCAAGTTGCTGGAAGAATTGTGCTTAAGGAAAAAGCACGGAGTAAAATGGTGTAAGATCCTTTCTCTTCAGTGTGTTCTGAGGTGATCAGAAACAGTGAAGAAATCGAACGTGTAGCAGTGATCGAGTACTGTGGTTCTTATCAGGATCTCCCATATCTTCTGTGATTTCCCCGTGCCTTCTTCCTTTAACGGGAGAGGCTCAGTTAATGGCAGAGCGCTTCTCCAAAAAGCTCTCTCCTACAGAGCTGACTGTTTGAGGTAGCAGGAGAGAGACAGGGGAAAAGTGAACATTTAGGAGAAAAGCCTGACCTGGGTCTGTTTCCACTGAAACACGTGGTTTTCTCGGGCTCTGCAGCAATTACGTAACCTCGTTCTGTTCCCCTAGAACAGGAGCTTGCATGTGTCTGTGTTAGCAAAATGCAGAGCGCAGTGCGTTTAAATAGTTCTGGCTTTAAGTGGTGCAGACTTGCTGTCTAGGCTGGGAAGAGAGAGGGAAGGGAAAGCGTAGTGAGTCCCTGCTACTCTGAATGCATGATTGTGCTTTTGTTGTGGTTATGTGCTTGCCAAGGCAACCTGAGCAGTATTTGTCTTGAGCCGACTGATCGGTGCGGCGGTAAGTTCAGTGCTATTTATCAGGAGAGCTGGAACAAGAAACGAATCCAGTAAATTTCATTTGTCCTCTG